AAAAAGAGCCAAACCATCTTGGCTGAAGTGCTTATAAAAGCAGTTTTCATAAGAACACTAGTAAATAAAAATGGAACAAAATGCAAGTGTTCTCCTTGAATTAGAACTGTTCAAGCTCTTCATTCACCTCTCTTTTCCCTGAATAACCATTTTTTTCTTTAATCAGTTACATGTATTTTACTATCTCATATAAGCAATTAACTCTAAATGCCAGAAAACTGTTTAAGAGCTGCTTTTCCTGATAAAATCCAAAGCAAAATCCAACCATCACTCATATTGTAAATTCTTATGTTTCCTACTTAGATTCCAGCCAATTCCAATTATAAAAAATAATTGTTTATTTTTTTAATCAAGAGAAACAACCTACCATAAAAGTATACAGAAACTGCTAACACAACAACAAAATCTCAATATCATTTTACATCTGTTTAAAGAAAACAAAAGAAAACCAATAGCAATACCCCCAAATTTGAACACAACAAATTCCTTATTCTGGAGGACTCTACCAAGCTTTCCACAAACTACACTATCTGTGGCAGGTATGAAAAGTAGCTGATTATTTTGAGGACAGCTTCACATAATAAAGAAAAAAGAACTGGAAAAATACTCCTCTCTTCCCTTCACTAAAGTCACTTAACCCTAAAGCAGGACTTCAATTTAGGCTGAAAAGAAAAAAAATCCTCTCGTGCCTCTCCTAAATTAAATTATTTTCCAATAGTCTTGACAATAAGCTTTGGGCTTTGCTTTTACTTATTCTTTTTAAATGCAGAAGCAGACTGCAAGGGAGCTATACAGATGCTTTGTGGTTTGCTATTTTTAGTATGCATGATTCTGACAATTTCCATAGTTTTTAATCTTACAGTTTCAGCACGGTCCAGGTGTAATCTAATAGCATCAGAAATGCTCATTTAAGACATTCCATCCTGTTCAATCTCTCTAGTATCTGCATGCAGATGGATATACTAAAGTGGCAGGAGACAGAAGAAAGTCAATATAAAGCATCGTAACACATCATTATGACGGGCTATACCACTGGTCTTTTTCTAAACCAGGAGTCAAGACCTGACTGAGAGTTGCCTGGGGTATGAAGTTTCTTCCAAAGGTCAATAAAACAGGCTTTCTGTTAAACAAAAAGCAAAGCTGCTTTGTTCTAAGAGCACAATGGTTTTGTAGGAGGCAGAAGACTAACTGCAGGGATGCTATACTTCCTCACTCCTGGGAAGATCCTGATCATGAGGGATGAAGGGAAAGGACAAAAGATTCTGAGTCCCAGAGTTACTCATATTTTCCACTTCCTGCCAAGATAACAGATGTGGCTTCATACATGCAAACACGCATTATAGACTCTTCCTTAGGAAGCCAGGAGAATCAGCCAATTACTTTCCCTCTTTTGGTAAGATGATCACACACTGTTCCTTCGTGTTTAGACCTCAATTTCTCCCTCTCTTTTTGTAAGAGGCATGCTGCACAGCTGCACACCCACCTTAATGCCACTACCAAATGTGGACACTATTCAATACTATTG